CCAGAGCTGGCGCGGCGGCCGTGGCGGGCAAGGAGGCTGGGGCAGGCGAGGCGGCCGGGGCAGGCGAGGCGGCCGGGGCAGGCGCGGCGGCCGTGGGGCCCTTCATGGCCGGAGAAGGAGGCCGGGAGGAGGAGCAGTTGGCTCCCGCGCGAGCGAGGAGCGGGTGAGCGAGTGCGGGTTGGGGGGTGATTTTCCTCTCAACCCCTACTTTTACGGATTGCAAACTGGTTTGAGGGTTGGACCTCTAATTTTTTTTATGGGTTTGAGGGTTTAGAGGTTCTAGTCTACGGCGTTTTTTCCGCGAAAACTGTAAAAAAGCAGTTATTTTTAGGCGTTTGAGGGTTTGAGGGCTCTACTAGTAATGCTCTTAGTATTATCAATAGAAATTTCGTTTTAGTTATGTTCCTTCTCCGCGTGTTTCTGAGACAACAGAAAATTCAGATTAAGAAAAACAACCAACTGTGGATTTCTGAGATAAGAGCACAAATGCCACATCATATTGGAGAAAACAACCAACTGTGGGTTTCTACTGCAAGGGCTATATCAACCACCTAGAGAAGTTGTTGCAGACCACCTGAAGTGCGCCTTCAGGCCAATAAAACCAAGGCTGCTGTTAGCATCACACCAGCTGATGTGAATGTGCATAGAAATTTCACTTTGTTGTGTTGATGTGTCTCCTGATCATGTTCAAGGTCTCCATAACCTATGAAAGCAAGAGTACAATAAGTACCCGACGGAAACATCAAAATCATAATTTGTAAGGGTGCAAGTAAATCATGTTGTCCAGATGGATGCTAGCAATTCCTAGCACACTAGCATGATATGGAGCAATAGGTACTCCTAGACGCAGGTGCCAGTGGGACCGGCATGGTATACGCATGAACGACACCGGTCCACGGGTTGTACCCGCCGGCCCACGGAGGAGGCGCCTGGGGCTGCTGCAGCTGATGAGGAGGGCCCGCGGCCTGTGGCTGCTGGTGGCGCGGGAGGGGCGGGGTGCTGCGGCTGCGGGTAGGACGGCGGGTGGCGCTGCTGTGGAGGCGCAGCTGGGGCGGCGGGTGGCGGTGGTGGCCCGCCGTGGGTGGTGCCGGCGGCGAGAGTAGTATGGATGGCCCGCGCCTTGACCTGCTTCATCCGCCGCTCCTCCAGCCGGAGGTTAGCAACAAACTTGGCGAAGAAGAGCTCTAGGATGAGGGTGAGGTTCGCCGCGGCGTTGCTGAAGTCCTTGTTGAGGCCGGCGCTGAGCGTGCCGAGGAGGAGATCATCGTCAATCTTTGCGCCAATATCGCGAAGCTCGTCAGCTAGAGTCTTAAGAATAGCATCGACGAAGGAGTTGTCATGGTGGCATCCCAAAAACTCTTGCTACAAAAAAATGCAACATTGAAGATGATTGTTGGTGAAGAGCCCGTTCAGGTTGGTCCACATGACATGGGTGTCATCACCGTCTTGCACGACCGTCTGAAATAGGTCCGGCGAGATGGTGAGGAAGAACCAACGGATGACCATGGCGTCGATGGTGGACCAGTCATGGAACTCGGGCACGAGGCTAGAGTTGACAGAGCCGTCCACATGGTCGAGGAGGTGGTACTCCCGGAACATGAGGGAGAAGTACGTCTTCCACGCGTAGTATGAGGAGTCCGTCTGGGAGAGAAGAACCGAAACCCGCTCGTAGATGTTGAAGTTGCGGATGTCGGTGATGTCGGGAGGGTTGGCGTCGACGAACGGGTTGGAGGGGTTGGAGGAGCCGGTCGAGGTGACGGATGACATGGCGGTGGCGTGGTGGTGCGGCTAGGGCTCAGGTTAGGGTTTGGTGGCGGCGGCTAGGGAGAGGTGCAGCCGCAGCGTGGGGCTGG